TGCGCCATTTCAAGGAAAGCTATTTGTTGTCCTCGAATGAAAGTCACAAAATATACCAATTCAATTGTATGAACAAAGCACAGATTATATTTAGCGAAGAAATATATAATTTTTTCTTCAATGGCTTTATTTTCAACCAGTTCTAACCAGTTGTATTTAAATTACGAAAACAGTTTTGAGTGGCATTAAAAATTTCTCAGAATTCAATATACATACGATGAAAATAAAGATGACTGACGTGATTTTAAAGGGCATATTGTTGAAGTGAATGAATTACAAAATGTCTAAAGATTATTAAATTATTTACGACACTAAGTCCCTCTTATAAATTTGTATAATGTTATTTAAAAGACGGAGATTATGTAAGCTGCCTTTGAAAGATACGTCTGAATTTGTTGACTGTCTTGTAGACATGAACATCAAAGATATGAAAATATATTCTTTTGATGTGAATTCTTTGTTTACTAATGTACCATTGATTAAGACTGTTGATGTTCTCTGTGTATCTTTTAGTTGCTTTTCATTCACTTTTCCTTCAACTTATTTGAAAGATTTATTACTTGTATGTACTGACAGTGTTCATTTCACGTTTGAAGGTGAGCACTTTCGACAAGTGGATGGTGTTGCTATGGGGAGTGCATTAGGACCTTTGTTGGAGGACGTTTACATGTCTAATGTTGAAAACTAGTCCCTTTATTTAATTTCTAAACTACCCTTTCTACAGGGGATATGTAGATGATATCATTTTGATATGTGATGATCGTGAAGATTCCAGTCGTCTATTAGATAGATTTAACTCTGTACAGAATTATATAAGTCTAACATCCAAGAAAGAAAGTTGCAACCAGCTAGCATTTTTAGACATACTTTTGAGTCGAAGAGATGATGGTTCAATAAGACGATCAATTAACAGAAAGCCTACTTGGACACTGCAATACCTGAATTTTCACATCTTCTGTTCATTACAGTACAAGAGAGGCTTTGTGAAGTAATTATTCAAGAGAATTCAGCATATTTGTACAACTCATTCTGTAGAGGATGAAAATAAAACACTCATGAATACTTCCGCTGAAAAAAAAATATCCCTTAAACAATTTTACACTGGTGTAGAAGTTAGTTGCTTTTAAAACCTACAATCTATTCTGTCCCAAAGGAAAGATGTTTCCATTAAATTACCATACAATGTGGAAATAAATGGTAGGATTTTGAGACAGCGACTAAACTCAAATCGTCCGTGGGACCTATGATGCAGTCCGGCTAATAATTATTAAAAAAGCTAAAAATATGCTCCACTGCAAACTTTAAAAGCACACAAGTGATTGTGTTACATTCTACACTATTTACCCACTAACGTGTGTGTATATGTGTACAAGCATACATTTTTTTATTATTTATTTTATTGCTTTGCGTTCCGAGTGGAACATAAGAGACTTTATGCTACAGTTTTGAAGTTTCAGTTTCAGTGTTATTTTCTGCGGGCTGGGGTTGCTAGCCTAATATCCAACTTTCCCTCTTTGTCGAGATTTTAACCAACTAAGGGAGGTAAGGATGTGCCAGTCGGGACTCGAACCCTGGACCAGGTGCATAGATGGCTAGCACTCTACCACTGAACCACCGACTCACAAACAAGATATCACTGCTAAGATAAGAACCTGGATTAGTTTGGGCACAACGCAATATCCTAACCACTGGACTACAGTGACATATATAGATAGGAGTAATAGCGATTTACATGTGAGGGTGTGAGAGCATATCCCGAATTTTGGAAAGACGACAAACACACATGGCAGACTATCAACTTCGTTTAAAGCCAAACATCTCATCGATATGAACCACAAGATTGATGTTAACACAGAATATAAGGTCATCTATAAAAATGGTAGAGGGGGCTTGCTGAAATACACTGACGCCATATTCATAACTTAAGCCAATCCCCCTCTCCGTGTATGTTACCTACCTTGGTAATCCTCATCTGATTGGATAAGCAAACGTAGTGTTAATTATTCCTAATGTTCTTAAATCCTTTATGTCACCTTGTGTATTCTAACTGGCCTTTATTTTTTGTATAAATTGACGTGACAAGTCAGTTTGTGTGTGATCAGATTGTTCAAAATATATGTAATTAAATTAATCGATGTATTAAGAGGTTGAAAGTAGGTTAAGTATTGTCAAAATATTGCAAATGAGCTGGTGGTCACTATTAAAAAGACGAAGATGAAGTTAGGTGAAATAAATTCAAGTGGCAAAATAATATACAATAATATATAAAAGTACGTTATTGTGACTAAGGTAAAGGAAGTGGTTCAATAAAACATAGTTTAGATTTTTGTCCTTGTACATCTGGAGCTTCGACTAGAAAGAAATAAAGAAACTGTAATCTTAAAAAGTGACTGGTTTCAGCCCTGTAAGTAACTTCAAAGGATAAATCGAATGAGATTGAATAATCTGACTCCAGTAGATGTTCAAAGATGGAAGACTTCATCAGTTTTACGCTCACCTCTCATCAACATCATGTTAAATTATCTTTAGAACAACAAGTTTAAGCGAACAATATTGTTTTCAGTTAGATCTCATCAAGCTTAACTCTAATATATATAACTTTACAAATAAAAATTCAAATATAAACCAATGATGGTGTTTTGTCTATAGGATAATATGATGGTGAATATAAATTGTGCAATAAGTCATAATAATAATAGTTCTATCAATAACAAGGGTTAAAAAGTGGGGTGGTCTGTGATAACACGAATAATGAAAAATAGCATGAATAAACAAACAAATATTCAGGTAGAAGTAGTTAATAAAGGCTATGAAAAACAAATGAACCGATCACGTAATGCCAAGTAGATTGTAAGGGAGGTAAATGAAACACGTTTTTAATGAAGATGTGATAAGGGATGATAAGAAAGGGGTTGAAAATATAAACAAAGGGTGGTGTAGAAGTCATTAGTTGGTTATGTCTTAATAGGCCAAGGGAGGGATAATGGCTGTACGAACGTTTTTGAATATATAGTTTAGGTTTAATATTTCGAATACCTATCGCCTCAGCTGTGTGCAATAAACGAATACGAAGTCTATTGGAAAGATTCGGTGGGATACGATGAATCATCTTGAAAGCTCTCGTTTTCTCCCTTACATGAACACTATCAACTAAATGTGACAAAATGGAGCTAGTGATTCTTTTTGTCTATCCTTCACCAAACCACGATGGGAGATGTTCACTAACACGTTGGCTAAGCTGTCTGGTATTACGCCCAACATAACTGTCACCGAAGGTGCAGTTGAATTGATTAATGCACATAGATGTGGCAAAACTATCAAGCTTATCCTTCGTTTGCGTCCCAATCATTCGTCGGCTAGAGTATACTTCGTATACTCCTTGAAAGTCTTTGGAATAGAATCTCTCTTGATAAGTCACCATTAAATTGTAACTTAATAAATAGAGGTTTCTTACGTGCGGTCAGAGTCTCCGGTTTATTCTCCGATGTTTTCATATGTTTCTTTATCAAACTACTCGGATGGCCCATCTCCATCAAGGAATCGTGAATATATTCAAATTCCTTTTGTAAGAGGTCATTCATACATATCTTTCTTGTTCTGCTCGCAAGACATTTTACAACATTCCTTTTATCTTTAATGGGCACGTAACTAAGGAAGTGTGTCTATTGCCCTGTGAAAGTGCTTTTTCTATATACGCTTCTCCCAAATGACCAATCTTCTCTCCTACTTAGCAAGACATCCAGGAAAATTATCTTTACTCATATCACCTGTGTATATATAATGCAAAAGAAGAATGCACATCTTGAAAATGAACTCGTTGAAAAAAGAGATATTCCTTGGCCCTGAACAAAAACTAAATTAGGTTACAGGCGTTCTTTATGATCTGATATTGGTTAGAGAACCATTAGAAAGCAATCTGGGAGTAGTGGAGAGTGATAAGTTGTGACCAGTGGGGTGCAGCAAGTTGGGTGCGAGGACATTAGCTAGTTGGTGTCGCGCTATGTAGTGAATTGGTAGAAGCTGGAATTCAAAGGTTAGCCATTGGATAGGGTCCCAGTGGCTTAATTCGTCTACGAGCTCGTATCTTATTCGGTAGGTCTTGTTTTCGAACCCCGGTGGTGGGTGCGTCCCAAACTAGGGCGATAGGAACAGCTGTCCAGTACTACCTGCTGGTTTTCCAATCGTTCTCTAACTGATGTCAGCTGTTGATGAAATCCTGTAACCAACTACAAAGTTACTTGATTTATCCAAATGAGTGTCAGTATTGTAATTCAGCAGTTCCGGAGGGATTTTCCAAACAGCTATTCCGTTACGCTTATATGTATACATATAATTATCCTTGGTAGAAGTGTGAACTTGTGTAACTGTTCCTTTCACATAAAAAGGAAGAGTCTATTTAATTTCATTCCACACTTATTCAATTATGAAAGGCTTCAAAAAGTAAAAATCACAAACACAAGTAGAACAGAAACAGGAAGATGATAAATCAGTTTCCTGCTTTGATATGATTCACCAAGAGTCTTACTTGTTTTTACTATCTCTTTACATCTAAAAACGCACGCGCTTTTCTTGGGAGATTCGTAACCAACACAGTGACACAATCAGTACATACGTCCAAACAGAATAATCCTAGTCCTTCTACCTCAGTGTCTTTTCACTTCTCATCTGTGGTACTCAAGAAAGTGTTGTCTGTCTATCTGCCTGTCTATCTATCCATTTGTCTCCTGGTTTGCTGGTTCACCCCCATCCCCTTCCATGCTCACTATCTTAAAATTCACTTGTATATCGTATTTCTCATATTGGAGTAATGTTGGTTTTCTTTTTCCTTCTTTGAGAATGGCAAAGTACAAGACAAAAATCTGAGTTGTCTTCAGTTACTGTTTTCTTTTTAACTGATGTAATTGAAAAATTTATCCGTTTTTAAACCGCTATATATATCCACCCGCTTATGTCAATTATGTGTGTTGTTTTTGCCTTATGTGTATTGTATCTGTTTTCAGAAATCTGGAGCCAAACGAAAATGTTCCGCTTGTCAGATTATTTGTCATGTGCATTGTCTTCCATTGGTAAGTTATTAACTAAAAATATTAATAATAATTGTATTATTATTTTTTTAATAATAATAAAATGTAACAATGTAATTATCAGGAGTTTACAATAATCTATGACAGTTCTACAAAACAGTTTAACTACCTACACATATGAATGCAAAAGTAGCATTGTATTCAACAGCTCTTCTTGGTATTTTTTCAAGAGGTTGTGAAATGGCTTGTAAAGAAACACCGTTGAACATTGAATCTCTTGAAAAGTGTGCTCACATGAAAAAGTTTCTATGAAATTACCTAAATGTTTATTTAATTCTTATTGTTATTAATGAATAATATTTATATTTCCATGTATACCAATAAGCTTTCATTTTCCTCCTACTTACACGAGCTTCTCGATGTAACTCCTCTCTCCCCCATCCCTGGAATATAACCATCTCGTTGTTTCGTATTGGGGCCTACTGATGTCTGTGTGTGTGTGTGTGTGATGTCACTCAACTGTCTTCGCATTGAATGCTCAATCCATCCGCTTTTCATTCTGTATATTCGTTAGGTTGTGCGTTCTAGGTTGGTTGTTTGCAAAAGTTCATTGTCGCGCTGATCCTTTCTCACCGACATCCTGCTTGATCTATAATACTGAGGTAGCGAAGTCGTTAGCTGTTTATAAAAGTATAACTTCCTGTTTGATTAGTCTGTAGCGGATAAGCCCCATTTTATATATGAAGGTCAACCAAAATACAAAATATGATACTGTTCAAATTATCGGGTATATTTTCCCTCCATAAAATGAGTTGTAATACGCAAATGCTCATCATGTCCTCATTTCCACGCGACCACCAACAAATCTACTAGCTTTTTAACGTATAACCGTTTACAAAAGTCAGTTCGGAAAAGAAAATGATATTGAAGTAGTTATTCAATGAATTCTTTTTCTGTATTTAATGGTTCTTTTATTTTTAGACAAAATTTATTCACAAATTTTTGAACTGGCGGTTTACTTTTAAACTTAGTGTTATTCTAATTGGAGACTCGTAGTTGTATCATTCACCAGCTACCTAAGTTGTGTAGATATGTGAATATCTTATCATCGTCCTGGCTGACTAAAAAGCATTCTAAAACCTCTGATTGTATCATTCTTTATATAGACAATTTATTGGGTATACATGTGACTACATATGACTAACACAAATGAAACATAAGTTTCAATATACGGTTGTTAAAATAAGTAGATTACAGTTCAAAACGGTATATGCAAGTGATAATATGCATAAAAATACAATAGTAATAATAATTTGCTTTATTCCAAAACAGTACTTGTGATACAGAATGGAATTCTCAGCAATTTTTTACTACAGTATTGCATCCAGTTAGTACATTGTCAATAAATAGAATTCTACATAGATTGAGGAAACCACAGTTCATTTTTACAACAATACATTGGCATGTTCAGTAGCAAAGGTAAAGCTGAAACAGTGTTTGAAGGTGTTAGAAAAGTGGGAGCTGTCTTATTAACTGGCGTAAGCGGTAGAAAGAAACAAAGCTGCACATAACGGAAAAAAAAGAGAGAGAAAAGGAACAGAAAGAAAGGAAATGTTGAACCTATTGATGAAGTGGGTTGGAAAGATGAGATCCAGTTGTACTAATGACTATTTAATGAATTATAGGTGTCACGCCTAATGCTTTCTTTATCGCACAGTACACGAGCTAAGTAGGGTATGGTTGAGTTTTTGTACTTGCTGGTGCGAGCATATAGTTTTCTATATTGGCTTCTTGTTTTACCTGATGAGATGCAAGGGGAGAGTTGTGAGTGAAGAGGGTGGTGTGAGTTAGATAAAATGGACTTGGCCCATTTTTCACATAAGTCCATGTGCCTGTCAACCAAAATATTAACAAGCTGGTTAAGTGGCACGTTGCTCACTCTGCTGACAACATTTAACATCCTGCGTAATATGTTATAGTCTTTCTTCAGTAGCCCAGGAAAAACTAAGGGGGAACAATAGAGAATAATAGGCAGGATGCGAGAATTAACGAATTGTAGGAGTAGGGGTTGGGTAATACCGGAATTTCCTAACTTCTTGATGTAGAAAGTAAGACGGAATATTTTCTTAGAAATCGCTAAGATATGAGACGACCAGGAGAGATCAGCAGATAGAATGACACCTACGTATTTGATTTCCGACTTGGTTTCTATTTCAGTGGCATCTATGTTGCACACCTCGTGAGTGATAACCAGTTTGTTAAGGTCGGATTTATGCCTAAAGGTGAAATTGACTGTTTGGCATTTGGAGGGTTTTAAGGTAAGACCGTTTTCCTTGGACCACTGGCTGATTTCTGACAGAAAGCCATTAAGTTTAGAGCAGTCACTCTGACATTTGACAGGCAAAGATACAGTCAGGTCGTCAGCATATTTGACAAAATTAATGTCATTTGAAGATGATAAGTCATGTAGAAAGAAAGAAGAGAGAAGTGGGGAGAGTACAGCGCCTTGGGGGACTCCGGCACCAGTGCGTGCAGCAGAGGATGATTTACCTTTGTATATGGTGTACTGCTTTCTGTTAGAGAAGTAGGAATGCAACCAGTTAGTGACCCAGGACTCAGTTTTCGTCAAAGAGAGCTTATTTAGCAGGAGACATCTAGGAACAGAGTCGAAAGCAGAAGTGAAGTCAAGAAACGTGCAGCGGACGTATTTAGCACCTTTATCTAATGATGAGACGATGTTGTTGTGTAAGACAGCTGCAGCGTCTAATATACTCCTACCCTGTCTATAGGCAAATTGTTTTGGGTCTTCGAAGTTTTTAAGGGAGGGTTCGAGTTTAAGAAGTATTAGTTTTTCCATAAGCTTTAGGAACGGGGAAGTGATGGCAATGGGTCTGAACTTTACGTTCTTGCCATTTCCAGGTTTAGGGACAGGGACAATTTTGATGTCTTTCCATGCATCAGGTACGATATTTTTGGAGAAAGAGGCATTTAGGATGTTGGTTAGTGGAGAACACAACACATCTGCACATTGTTTTAGAACATAGGCAGGTATACCATCAGGACCTAGGCTACGTGAGGGCTTGAGTGTTTTAAGACATTTTAGAACATCGAGAGTATTAAAGTCGTGAAAGTTTTCAGCTACATGATAGGTAACATTAGAGGTAGTTAAGGTAGAAGGACAGCGTATAAAAGAATGATTAAGAGCATTAACATCATAAGAGGGAAAAGTATTACAACGCTTACTATTACCAGTAATTTCATTAAAAAGTTTCCGCATACTGATTGGAGATTTACATGATAAAAGTGTATCATTATATATAGCATTAAGATTTTTGATTTCAGATTTGATCTGAGCATTAATCTTTTTGAGTCCTAACTTGTCTTTAGATTTGTACAAAGTTTCTTTTTTCTTGCGAAGTTGTTTGAGATAAGGAGATGAGAAAAATTAAGAAGAAAATTTATACGACATTTGAAGATGGTGGCCAGAGTAGGGAAAGCGTCACAAAGAACTTCTTCTGGACACACATCAGTTAGGCTTCTTAAGATGGATTCCGGCAACTTCAATGATATATCAAAAAGACATGCTCTTAAAGTAGAAACTGAGATTCGTCGAAATATGATAGAAAACCTTAGAAGCCTTGTTAGCATTGATTTTTTTTCAATATCTACTAGGTCACCAAAAATAGGGTTGCAAACGGACCTTGCATGTCTCTTCCTAAACTAGGCGGAATGACATTCAGATATCCAATGATAAATATGGCTTATTGTATGCCCAATGTAACTAGGTTCTCAGGAGAAGTCAGATCCATAGATACTCATATTTTATTTCGACCTTAGTGGTTTATTTTTAGCTCCTGAATGTGAAATATAATTTGTTGTGAAGAGACAGTGTACTCCTGCTGCTCAAATTACTGAATTCGTTTAGCTTTGTGTTATCGTCAAGGAATTGAAGCTTTAAGAACGAGGTTTTTTTCCAAACTGTTAGTACACTGACCCGCCTTGGCTTTGAATTCATATTCCTATCCATAAACTTAATTGAACAATAATGAATTTTCACTCAGTAACTGTTCCAAAATATGTTGAGTTCTTCATTAGAGCATTTATCAGAGCAGATAATTCTAGCTCTATAGACTAAACATTTAATAAAATTGTGTTTAAATTTCAAAGTTGTGGGGCTCAAAAATATGTCTACTGGTCAGTACATATATATTTTTTCTATGTTTACTCCTTTTTATTGTACCGTCATCAGGACGTCTAAAAATGGAATACTATTATAGGTTTTCTTTCCCGGGTCATAAATTCAGGAAGCTTACTATTTAATTTTTTTCTCAAGAACGTTCTTTGACTCATTCTCATTTATGTATATTCATATTACTGCGGAGCCACACAAAAAAGCTTTGGGGAAATAATATTCCTTTCTCAAACTGTCTTTTATCTCCTGAGCAGCAGTTTGTCTCTGAAATTGCTACTGCCTTACTGACTTTAAGTGTAACAACCAGATTTATTCGGTTATGCTCTGAACACGAGAAACTAATCTCTGCGTTCTACTGTATAGCTGACAGAACTTCATTGAGACACGCACGCACTATCATGAAACGTTCTAAACACAGGGAAAGGATGATTATTTTTCAAAATTTTAGCGGTTCTATTCAGTAATTATAACATCAAGAACTGGAGTTTACCTCAACAATACCGTTAGGCATCTGGACAGTCAAGAGATTATTCTAAGTACAAAACAATTACTATAGAACAAGATTCATTAACCAAAGTTCTACTGTAAAAAGTACCTTAGAATCAAGGAGTATTTTCCCAACAAAGTAGGATCAAAACCTCTTTCCAGAGAAATCATTCAACAAGGCTTCCCAGGTCACAATAACCTTCATTCATACAAACAGACTCATCGTTAAACAACACACTGCCAATGTACACACAACCACAATTAAAGGTTAAATAAGGACAAAGGCAAATAGTAAAGGTTAAAATCAGCAGTGTGATATGCAAATGTCAAATTAATGATACACAGTCTAGAGGATAAGAGGCTA